CCCAGGCTGAAATGCAGTGGCGCATTCTCAGTACACTGCAACGTCTGTCTGTCTCCCAGGTTCAAGCGATTCTCCTGACTCAGCCTCCGAGTAGCTGGGATTACAGGCGTCTGCCACCATGCCCAGCTAATTTTTTGTATTTTTATTAGAGAGGGAGTTTCACCATCTTGGCCAGGCTGGTCTTGGACTCCTGACCCCATGATCCACCCGCCTCCTCAGCCTCCCAAAGTGCTGGGATTCCAGGCGTGAGCCACCATGCTTGCCCTGATTTTTTTTTTTTTTAAATAAGTGGGAGAAAACACTTGGAAACATAAGCATACATAAAAAATAAAAAGAACAAAAAACCAAGCTGCAGAACAATGAATTCTGTGTGAAATATTTTATATAAAGGTTTTTACTGTTCCAAACAATACTACCTACTGTTCATGGACTTAGCATATGTCATAAAAGCCTGGAGGCACCTGGATCTGGACCCAAGTTATTTCTACCAGGCTGCTTCTGGGGAAGGGCAAGGAGCAGAGTGGGGTCCTACTGGCCTCTGGATGCCCAGCATAGACTCCCAAGGCATTGTGAGATCTGAGAAAGCTTCCCCAGGGACGACCCCTCCTCAACTCCCAGCCAAGACTCCGAACCCCCCAGGGCTCAGTGGGTGGATGGAAAGGCGGTGAGGGCATTCCAAACTAAGCACCTGGGAAGCTGGCTTGCTTGGGCTGGAGAGCAGGTGAGGCTGGGTGATCATCCTTCCCTTCTTTTTTTTTTTGGAATGGAGTCTCGCTCTGTCACCTAGGCTAGAGTGCAGTGGTGCGATCTCGGTTTACTTCAACCTCTGCTGTCCGGGTTCAACTGATTCTTCTGCCTCAGCTTCCTGAGTAGCTGCAATTACAAGCGCGTGCCACCACGCCCAGCTAATTTTTATATTTTGTTTTGTTTTGTTTTTTGATTTTGTTTTTGTTTTGAGATGGAGTCTCGTTCTGTCTCCCAGGCTGGAGTGCAATGGCATGGTCTTGGCTCACTGCAACCTCCATCTCCTGGGTTCAAGCGATTCTCATGCCTTATCCTGCTGAGTAACTGGGACCACAGGCGCGTGCCACCACACACGGCTAATTTTTTATTTTAATTTTTTTTTATTTATTTATTTTTTTTTTTTTTTGAGACGGAGTCTCGCTCTGTCGCCCGGGCTGGAGTGCAGTGGCCGGATCTCAGCTCACTGCAAGCTCCGCCTCCCGGGTTTACGCCATTCTCCTGCCTCAGCCTCCCGAATAGCTGGGACTACAGGCGCCCGCCACCTCGCCCGGCTAGTTTTTTGTATTTTTTTTAGTAGAGACGGGGTTTCACCGTGTTAGCCAGGATGTTATATTTTTAGTAGAGGCGGAGTTTCACCGTGTTAGCCAGGATGGTCTCCATCTCCTGACCTCATGATCCACCTGCCTCGGCCTCCCAAAGTGCTGGAATTATAGGCGTGAGCCATTGCGCCCTGCCAAATTTTGTATTTTTAGTAGAGATGGGGTTTTAGCATCTTGGCCAGGCTGGTCTTGAGCTCCTGACCTCACGATCCACCCTCCTTGGTCTCCCAAAGTGCTGGGATTACAGGCATGAACCACCGTGCCCGGCCAATCCCTCCCTTCTTAACCAGACATGTCCCAGCCTCCCTGGGCCTTCCCTGAGGTCACTGTGTCCCTCCTATTCATCTTTCTCCTGGGATCAGCAAGGAGCCGGGGGGTGAGGCGAGGGCTGAGGGCCCCTGTGTGCTGGGTGGCCAAGACTCTTAGGCCCAACAGGGAGATGGAGGCCAGGACTCCTGGGTCCAGAGTCGACTGAGGACCAGATTCAAATATACAAAGCCAGGCACACTGGCTCATGCCTCCAAGTCCATCACTTTGGGAGGCCAAGGCAGGAGGATTTCTTGAGGCCAGAAGTTGAGACCAGCTTAGGTAATATAGCAAGACCACATCTCTACAAAAAGTAAAAAGGTTAGCAGGGCATGGTGGCATCTGCCTGTAGTCCCAGTCACTCAGGAGGCTGAGGCAGGAGGATCACTTGAGCCCAAGAGTTCAAGGCCGCTGTGAGCTATGATCATGCTACTGTACTTCAACCTGGGTGACAGAGTGAGACCCTGTCTCCGAAAAAAACAAAAACACAAATTTCCCAAGAGTGACTGAGGCTGAGAGCTAGGCAAGCTGGGATGAAGGCTGTGCTATGTACCCACAGACAAATGACTTCGCCTTTCTGAGCTGGCCTCCTCACCTGTGAATGGCATGACCTCATGGGGTTGCTCTGAGGATGAAATACATTGTGACATGCAGGTGAGTCATCTCTGGTGGCCATGCGGAGATCACCAGCAAGGACTAAGTGCTGGCACTTCACCCTCATTTAATCCTCACACCTGGCCAGGCACGGTGGCTCACACCTGTAATCCCAGCACTCTGGGAGGCGGAGGTGGGCATATCACCTGAGGTCAGTTGAAGACCGTCCTGGTCAACACAGTGAAACCCTGTCTCTACTAAAAATACAAAAATTAGCTGGGTGTGGTGGTGCACGCCTGTAATCCCAGCTACTTAGGTGGCTAAGGTGGGAGAATCGCTTGAACCCAGGAGTCAGAGGTTGCAGGGAGGCGAGATCTCACCACTGCACTCCAGCCAGGGGGACAGAGCGAGACTCCGTCTCAAAAAAAATCCTCACATCCCTATAAGCTAGGAACTATCATCCTCATTTTACAGATGGGGAAACTGAGGGCTGCAGAGGTTAATCAGCTGAAGGGCACAGGCACACACATCACATCTGGTATGTGGCCAACTGGCTCCTGGACTGAAGCCATGTGATGCCAGCACCCATGGGCCAAGCACCTTTGCTGTACTGTTTTATTGGTTCATTTCTGGTTTATAGGACTATGCTCCCTCCCATGGCCCAGGTGAACTATGAACCTTCTGGAAGTAGGGCTGTGATCACTTCATCCCGGGATGAGCTCAGTCTGCCTGGCAGGAGACGCTCAAGATGTGCTAAGTGTGGGTGTGAGTGGGGCCCAGGGTGACTGGCATTTGGAGGGGACACTGAGCTTATATTTCCAGAGGGTCACATAGCAGCACTCGGGGAGGCTGGGATGTGTTCAGCCCTCCGGAGGCTACCAGGCTGCTCCCACAGGTGCAGTGGGAGAAAGTGGCAGCCTTGCTGGGCAATGTGGCTCTAAGGCAAATCAGCTCCCCTACTCTCTGCTGGCAGAAAACCCTGTCCCAGCCCCAGGACCCAGGAGTCCCAGTTCCTAAGTCATCCCTCCAAGGAGTCCTTGCTCCCCTTTTCCCACAAGCCAGGAGTCCCAGTGCCCACCCTCCTCCTATTTTTCTAGAACCCAGGTAAGTAGCCCCCAGTCCCCCAAGACTCAGGGGTCCTGACCCCCAGCCAGAGGTGAACGGACCCACCTGACACCGGCCAGCCACAGCTGATGTGCACGGCCCCTTCTACCTCCGAACTCAGTGAGGCCAGGTGAGTAGCTGAAGTCAGCCAAGGAGCATGTATTGCATCATGGAAATTGGCAAATGCAACCAGCGAGGGCTTCTGTTTTAACCAGGGAGCCTGTTGTTAAATGCTTACCAGCACATCGCTGCTCCCAGCCTTCCATCTGACCTGCTCTCCAGGCCAGGAGCCCCTGTCACGAGGCCCAGGGAGCCCTGGAGTCTGGAGATAAATCGTGACAAGACACAAGGCCATGGCTGGGGCATCACTGCTGCCCAAGCCACCCTGGGTCCCTAGTCCCAGACCTTCCCATCTCCACACCAAGGCCCCTGTCCCAGACAACAGCATGGTCCTCAGCTCTGCATAACTCAGGAACTGAGAGCACCAGGTCTGGAGCCATGCGGACTCGGGCATGGCTCTGGGCAAGTCACTTTCACTGCCTGTGCTACAGTGTCCTTGTCTGTGGTATGGGAATCAGTAAAGAGCATGACCCTAAAGCCACACTTGTGCTGTTCACCTTCAAGTTCTGACCAGGGACCCCAAACAAGGTGGAGGACCCCCCCCGCCCCCGAGCCTTAGCTTCCTCATCTGTAAGATGGGGATGACAACAGTTCCTCCTCATCAGGTCATCATGAAAGTCAACAAGTTGAGCCGGGGCGGTGGCTCACTCTGTAATCCCAGCACTTTGGGAGGCCCAGGTGGGCGGATCACAAGATCAGGAGTTTGAGACCAGCCTGGCCAACACGTTGAAACCCTGTTTCTACTAAAAATACAAAATTAGCTGGGTGTAGTGTTGCACACCTGTAGTCCCGGCTACTGGTCAGGCTGAGGCAGGAGAATCACTTGAACCCAGGAGAGGAGGCTGCTGTGAGCTGAGATGGCACCACTGTACTCCAGCCTGGGCAAGAAGAGTAAATTTCCATCTCAAAAAAAAAAAAAAGGTCAACAAGTTATGCCTATAAAATAGTTTACTTGGCCAGAAGCAGTGGCTCATGCCTGTAATCCCAGCACTTTGGGAGGCTGAAGCCGGAGGATTACTTGAATCCAGGAGTTTGAGACCAGCCTGGGCAACATAGTGAAACCCCACCCCTACAAAAAGTACAAAAATTAGCCGGGCATGGTGGCATGTACCTATAGTCCCAGTTACTGGAGAGGCTGTGGTGGGAAGATCACTTGACCCTGGGAGGACGAAGTTGCGGTGATGGTGCCACTGCACTCCAGCCTGGGTGACAGAGCAAGATCCCATCTCTAAAAACTAAAAAAGTTTAGTTAGCCGAGTGCTTAAGATGTCAGATTCTATGTTGTTGTCATTGCTAATGAGTTCCTACCCCCACAGGGCAAGGCAGTCCTGACGGCAAAGAAGCGGCGGCTACCTCAATGTAGGATCTGCACACAGTAGGTGCTCAGTTAACTGGCCGGGCCATTTGCAACCACAGCAGGATGGGCCAGTGCCCCCCACCCAAGTGGAAGCGACTCTCCCTCGACCCCGCCCGGCCATTCAGGCAGCTAGGGAGCGCCCCGGCCTCTCCCGCGGCCCCGCCCCTTCACCTGTGTCGGCTGCACACCTGGAGCCGCCTCCGGAAGAGGGGACCGGAGACCGCGGGAACCTCGGAGGGAGCCCGGCGGCTTCGGGTGAGAGTCTGGGGGACGCCGAGGGCAGGGCCCCTCGAGTTGGGGAGGGACTTGTCCGGCCGCGTCGGCAGAGAAGGTTGGAGAACCAGGGCGGGGGCAGGGGAACCGAGATCGCCGGGGAACCGGGGGCGCCGGCAGGAACTCAGCCGTCGGGGGTGAGCCCAGCCCCTTCTCCGGGCTTCCGACACCTGGGGCCAGGGGTCGGGGGGCTGGAAGCCCCAACACCTGGGCAGCTAAATGCGGAAGGGTAGGGGGAGAGGTTTCCATGTCCGGGTCTCTTGGGTGGAGGGGGTGGGGGGATCGGGGCCAGCGAGGGCCAAGTCAGGGAGATTCTCGGGAGCGGCCTAGGGGCGGCTGGGCTAGGACCACGGTGACACTCAGGTCCTGCGAGCAGGACTGCACATGGACATCGGGCGAGAGGAGGAGGGGGAGCACAGGTGTGTGCACCTAGTGGGTGGAGACCCCCCTGAGGGCTGGGGCTGGTAAGCCCGGTGCGTCGGGCCCTCTGACCTGAGCCCCTGAACCCCAACCCCTGAGCAACCCTAGGGGAGCGCGGGGCTCCCGTCCCCAGGGGCGGGCCAGGAAGTAAACAGAAACTCCGAGCCGCGCTGCAGTCGGGCGGCCGGCACAACCTGTTACCTCGCCCTGTCCTGGGCCCTACGCCAGGGCCCTGGGAAACTGGGGGGTTGAGGGTCAGGACTCCTGACTCCGGAGGGGTGGGGACATGAATGCCTGAGTCCTGTGGAAAGTGGGGACTGAGGTGGGAATCCTTGGTGGGGGACATTGGAGGTGGGGACCTCTGAGTCTGGAGGGTGGAGTCAAAGCACCTGCTCAGGAGGTAACAGGAGAATGAGTGCGAGAGAGCTGGGAGGTCAGCAGCCGGGATCCGGGCTTCTGGTAGGGAAGGGAGCTGGATTCCTGGGGGCGAAGACACCTCAGTTCCCAAGTCTTAGGGTCCTGCATTCCTAGGAGGAGAAGGGGCTGGGCTCAACACCAACTGCTGAGTCCCTGAGAACCTGGGTTCTGGGAACTGTCTCAGATGGCAAGGGGCTAGGAGCCAAACTGCTGGGTTCTGGGAAGAGAGGGGAGAGGGAGCGGAGGTGGCCTGTGGCCCTGGAGCACTGGAATGAACTTTCCTGGGGACAGAGATTGTCTAGCAGAGGCCAAAGGCTGGGCAGGTCATTTCCTTCTGCTTGCTGCCTCAGTTTACCCCAGGGACATTAACGGAACTGGGTGGCCAAAACACAGGTCATTAACCCTTCGTGGCTCAGGAAGCCCTGGCTGCAGGACCTGGCAGGCTGGCAGCAGGTGGAGAATTCCTGGAGGGCCAGGTGTTGGGCGGAGGGTGAGCCCCTGTCAGACTGCAGAGTAGAGTGTCCCGCAGTCACCTGTCCCCGCAGATGCTGCAGGTGACATGAATTCTCCAGATGGGCCCAGCTTCCCGTCGGGGCTGCTCTCGGGGGGCGCCTCTCCCAGCGGCGACGAGGGCTTCTTCCCCTTTGTGCTGGAGCGGAGGGACTCATTCCTGGGAGGGGGCCCAGGGCCTGAGGAGCCCGAGGACCTAGCCTTGCAGCTGCAGCAGAAGGAGAAAGACCTGCTATTGGCGGCGGAGCTCGGCAAGATGCTTCTGGAGCGAAATGAGGAGCTGCGGCGGCAGCTGGAGACGCTGAGCGCCCAGCACTTGGAGCGTGAGGAAGTGAGCTAGCACTGGACTGGGTGGGTGGCCGGGTGGGCAGAGGAGGATGGGTGGGCCTGGAGAGGACAAGGGAAGGGGGTCAGGCACAGGACGGAGAGAGGAGCCGGGGAGGACAGCGGGGCAGGGGGAGGACATTGGAACAGATCAGAGCTGGGCCCAGTCCCCCTGGCAGTGTTGCCTAGTGGTAAATAACCGGAACTCTGGGTGCCGGGCACAGTACCTCACACCTGTAATCCCAGCACTTTGGGAGGCCAAAGCAGGAAGATCACTAGCCCAGTGTTCAAGATCAGCCTGGGCAACATAGTGAGACTCTGTCTCTACAAAAAATAAGAAAATTAGCTGGATGTGGTGGTGGCACCTGTAGTCTCAGCTACTCAGGAGGCCGAGGCAGGGGGATCACTTGATCCCAGGAATTTTAGAGTTTGAGGCTGCAGTAAGCTATGATCCACTGCACTACAGCTTGGATGACAGAGTAAGATCCTGAAAAAAAAAAAAAGGAAGGAAGGAAGGAAGGAAGGAAGGAAGGAAGGAAGGAAGGAAGGAAGGAAGGAAGGAAGGAAGGAAGGGAGGGAGGGAGGGAGGGAGGGAGGGAGGGAGGGAGGGAGGGAAAAGAAAAGAAAGAAAAAAAAGAAAGGAAAGGAAGGGAAGGGAAAGGAAAAAAGGTGTGAATTCTCAGGCCAGGCATGGTGGCTCACACCTGTAATCCCAGCACTTTGGGAGGCTGAGGTGGCAGGATCACTTGAGGTCAGGAGTTCGAGACCAGCCTGGCCAACATGGTGAAACCCCGTCTCTACTAAAAATACAAAAAAAAATTAGCCAGGCATGATGGGGTGTACCTGTAGTCCCGGCTACTTGGGAGACTGAGGCAGGAGAATCACTTGAACCTGGGAGGCAGAGGTTGCTATGAGCCAAGATCATGCCACTGCTCTCCAGCCTGGGTGACAGAGTGAGACTCCGTCTCAAAAAAAAAAAAAAATAAATAAAAAATAAAAATTAAAAAACTGGGTTCAGACCCTTGTCCAGCTGTGTGACCCTGGGTCAGCTGCTGGCCCTCTCTGGATCTTGTGTCTAGCTCCTCAGCAGTATCACAGAACACCAGGCAACAGTCATGGGTGTCTACACCCTGCCTGGCACTGGGCTGAGTGCTTTCCATGACTCTCCATTGATTCTTGCCCAGCCCAATGAGGCAGGAACAGTTCCCTCTACCCAGGTTCTATTTTTGGCCAAATTCTTGCTCTGGGGTTCACATCTGGTCTCCTGAACACCCTCCTTCATCTGCTGCACTGGCCCCAACCACTGCCCTGAGCCTGACCTGGGTAGCTAACCCTCTCCACCAGGCCACCTAGTGGGCATCTCAACACAAGTGGCACTTGATTCCACACCCTCGATTCCATGCCCACATCACCTGCTGTCCCCATCCTTGCCTTCCCACTTGGGGACCAGGGCCTGTGCACCTCCTTGGCCTTTTTTTTTTTTTTTTTTTTTTTTTTTTTTGGCGAGACACGGGCTCCCTCTGTCACCCAGGCTGTAGTGCAGTGGTGCAATCATAGCTCACTGGAACCTCAACCTCATGAGCTCAAGCAATCCTCCCATCTCAGCCTCCTGAGTAGTTGGGACTACAGGCACACATGCACCACCATACCTGGCTAATTTTTGCATTTGTTGTAGAGATGGGGTCTCACCATGTTGCCCAGGCTGGTCTCAAACTCCCGGGCTCAACCAAACCACCTGCCTCAGCCTCCCAAAGTGTTGGGATTACAGGTGTGAGTCAATGCGCTCAAACTTTCTTGAATGTACAAACTCCCCCCAATATCCACAAGCCCTTTTGATTCTTCTAGACTAGACTCCAACCACCCACTTGTTGGCTCTGCAGCCTCCAAGCTGATCACAGATCACAGCCTCCATCACCTCTGCCCCAGACACTCCAGCCACCTGCTCCTGAGTCCCCAGCTTCCACTCTTTTATTATTATTATTTTTTAGATGGAGTCTCACTCTGTTGCCCGGGCTGGAGTGCAGTGGTGCGATCTCAGCTCACTGCAACCTCTGCTTCCCGGGTTCAAGTGATTCTCTCACCTCAGCCTCCCGAGTAGCTGGGATTACAGGTGTGTGCCACCAAGCCCAGATAATTTTTGTATTTTTAGTAGAGACGGGTTTTTACCATGTTGGCCAGGCTGGTCTCGACTTCCTGACCTCAGGTGATCCACTTGCCTCAACCTGCAAAAGTGCTGGGATTATAGGTATGAGCCACTGCGCCCAGCCCCCAGCTTCCACCTTTGACCCCTGGAGCCCATTCTCTAAGGGACAGCCCGGAATTTTCAAAAGCTGCAAATCACATCATTTCACTCCTCAACCAGAATCTCCCCCTCACACTTAGAATGAAACCGAAACTCTTCCCCAGAGCCTAAAAGTCCCAGCGAGCTGGGCTCCTCCCTGACCTCACCACAGCAACACCACCCCTTTCTCCCTTCCTCCAAGAAGGGCAGCCGATCCACCCTCTCCCCGACAATGAGGGCTCTTTTCAGTTCCTCCAAGAACTCACGCTTGTTCCCTCAGGAACTTTGCACTTGCTGTCCCTTAATGCCTAGCCTTCTTTCTGGTGGCTCTTCTTGTCCTGCAGAAGTCAACTCAAACACGACATCCTCCTTGAAGGACCCTCCACCCCCACCCCACTCCTTACTCTCCATCACTTCCTGGGTCTCTTTGCAGCCCTTACTGTCCCCCTGAAATTACCTGGCTCCGGCATGTGTCCATGCCCTCTGGACTCTAAGCTACTTGAAGCAGTGAACTTGGTGGTCTCATGTGCCGCTGACAGCAGACCCCAGAGCAAGCGGAGCTCAGGAAATATGGGAGGATTGATAGTAGTGTGGGTGAATGGACTTAGAGATATTGTGTCCAGGCCACAAGGCATCAGCAGAGCTGAATATCAGCCAGGACAATGTGACCTTGAACCTGACAGCTTAATCCTGAAGCTGTATTGTCCCTACAGGATTTGGTTAAAAGTTCTGCTGCCTGAGTTGGCATCCCTGCTTTGTGAAGTTATTGTGTGGGCATGGTGGCTCACGCTGGTAATCCCAGCACTTTGGGAGGCCCAGGAGGGTGGATTGTTTGAGACCAGGAGTTCAAGACCAGCCTGGCCAACATGGTGAAACCCCATCCCTACTAAGAAAACAAAAAAAAATTTGCCAGGCGAGGTGGTGCACACCTGTAATCTTAGCTACTTGGGAGGCTGAGGCAGGAGGATCTCTTGAACTTGGGAGGCGGACATTGCCATGGGCCGAGATTGTTCCACTGCACTCCAGCCTGGGCAAAAGAGTGAAGATCTGTCTCAACAAAATAATAATAAATAATAAAAACAAAAATAAATGACTGTGTGTCCTTAGGCAAGGCACTTAGCAACTATGAGCTTCAGTTTCATCTAAACCCAGGACATTAGTGATTCTCCCTCTAGTGGATGAAATGAAGTAATGCAGATAAACCCCTAATGCAGGGTACCTGCCAGTCACTGCAGTAGCTGTGACAATTGTCACCTTCGTCCAAGCCCATCCCGCTTTGAGGGCCTAGAGAGAGTGGGCCAGAGGTTAACCCCCGACTCATCTGCTTCCCCACGCTGGGCATCTGGGTGTGCCAGGGCGTTCCCCCGCTGGTCAGACAAGTTTTGGGGCCGGGGTGGGGCTGACCAGGGTTAATTAGAGGGAACTGGCTAGCAGGAGCTGGGGAGGGGGCTGGGCAGAGTCCAGGCCTCCAGAGCCCCTGGGACACAGCAGGTGTGTGCTGCCATGGGCCGGGGCTTGAACTCTGCCAGACTCAGGCGCCAAAAACGGCGCTTGCGACCTCGGGTCCAGAAGCCCAGGCAACAGCTGGAGGTGAGTGGTCATCAGAGAGCCCCATCCCCACCCTTGCCCTGGGCGCACGCGTCCTGTCTGCCCGGAACCTTCCCTCTAAATCTCTGGGTCTTGCTCATTCTTCCTCCCTCATTCTCCCTTGCTTTTGTGTCTATCTTGGACACAAGGTCCCCTTAGGCTTTCTCCCTAGGTGTCTGTCCCTCCATCCCCATCTCTCTGTGCCTGTCCAGTCTCATCGGTGCCTCTCTGCCTCTGTCCCTCTGCCCTGGCCCCTACAGCGGCTCCAGCAGGAGAACCATGAGCTCCGGCGAGGCCTGGCAGCCCGAGGAGCCGAGTGGGAGGCCAGGGCCGTGGAGCTGGAGGGGGACGTGGAGGCCCTGCGGGCCCAGCTCGGGGAGCAGCGCTCGGAGCAGCAGGACAGTGGGCGAGAACGGGCACGGGCCCTCAGCGAGCTCAGCGAGCAGAACCTCCGGCTCAGCCAGCAGCTGGCTCAGGTGGACAAGGTGGAGGAGGACGCCTTGGTCCCCAGTGGGGAGTGGGTGCATTGGGCATGGTGCTGAGGCTCCTCTGCCCCCCTTTCTACCTCCTCAGGCCTCCCAGACTGAGCAGGAACTTCAGAGGGAACTGGACACCCTTCGGGGACAGTGCCAGGCTCAGGCACTGGCTGGGGCAGAGCTGAGGACGCGGCTGGAGAGTCTGCAGGGGGAAGTGAGTTTCAGCTGGGGCTGGGGGATTGTCTGAGACAAAAAAGCTGGGCCAGGGGCTGGGAGGGGGCTGCCCCCCTCCCCAGCTCTCAGGCCTTTCCCCAGAACCAGATGCTGCAGAGCCGCCGGCAGGACCTGGAGGCCCAGATCCGAGGCCTGCGTGAGGAGGTGGAGAAGGGCCAGGGCCGACTGCAGACCACGCACGAGGAGTTGCTGCTGCTGAGGCGGGAGAGGCGGGAGCACAACCTGGAGGTGACCTGCAGGGCTAGGGGATACAACTGCCTGGACCCTTAGCAATGGCTTCAGGGTTTTCTGGGAGATGAGGCCAGATCTGGATCACTGGGAGGTCCAGAGGCTGGCCCACAAGAGCATGGGCATTAGCCCATGGGCAAGTGGGAGCCATGGAAGGCTGTTAAGCAGGGGAGGCATGCTCTTAGAATACATCAGAGCCTGGCAGCTGAAAGGGCAGGGAGGGGGCTGATGCCAGAGCTCAGGCCAGGAATGACAGCCCCTAGACCATGGCTGGGCAATGGAGATGGAGAAAAAGAAATGAAAAGAGGACGCGGGGTCTGATGTTAGAGATCAAAGGAGTCTGCATTTTGGGGTCAGCTTGCCTGCCTTCACATCCCAGTGCCCCTTTTTGCTACTGTGGGACAAGCAGCCTCAGTAGCACCGATAAATGCTGCATGAAACAATTAGTGAATGAGGAGGTAGACTGCGCAGGGGAGGGAATAGGGCTCTTCGAGGTGGGGCCCTGCTTTATAGGCGAGGAAATTGTGTGTCTGCTGAGGGAGGTGCATGGCCCAAGGCTCCCAGCGATCCAGGAACGGGAACAGCCTGGGCCGACGGGGTGCGGGGCCCTCCACGGCGCCCCCGCGTGGACCTGCCGCGGGATGCCGGCGCTGGGTGAGTCCCGCTGACCACCTGCGCTTCCGTCTGCGGGACCGTCCACAGCTGGAACGCGCACGGTCCGAGGCCGAGGAGGCGCTGAGCGCGCTGCGGAGGCTGCAGCGGCGCGTCTCCGAACTGGAGGAGGAGTCACGCCTCCAGGACGCCGACGTGTCGGGTGCTTCATTGCAGTCAGAACTGGCCCACAGCCTCGAGGACGGCGACCAGGGCCAGAGCGCCGAAGCACGGGGAGACACCCCGGTGAGCTCGTGGGCCCTCAGCCCCCTTACCTGTGCCATCGAGAGGGTCGCAGGCTCCGCCTTTCCTCCTTTCCCTAATAGACTCCACACCACTAACCCATTTCTTTGGCCCACAGACCACCCGGTCCCCAAAGACCCGAGAGGTATCCAGTCCCCAGCCTTCACCCCCGGAAGAGAGCTTAGAGCCCCCCAAGAAGCGAACATCCCTCAGCCCAGCGGAGATACTGGAGGAGAAGGAGGCGGAAGTGGCCAAGCTGCAAGATGAGGTGGGGGAGAGGGCACTGTGCTGGATGCAGGGCCCCTCTAGCTGTCAGTTTCTGTCTCCCATGTCCACTTCCCAGCCTTTGCCCACTAAGCTCCCCTATACCTGGATCGGTCTTCATCTCAACAAACTTACTTCAAGAGCCAGCCTGCATGCCACCTCCTCCAGGAAGACTTCCTAGACAGCACCTCCCCGCTTAGTTCCACTTCCACTGCTTCTCCCTGCATCCCTCCTGCAGGGTTATACCACTCCCACTAGCCCTGCTCCACCCCACCCTGCACCAGCCTGAGGGTCTCAGAGGGCTCATCTTGGAGTCTCCAGCACAGGGCTACAGCTGCCTGGGGTGTCTGTCGCAGGCAGAGGAGGGCTGGGGAAAGCCAGAGTCGGGGCTGCTGGGAGAAGCAGGGACTGAAAGGCCCATTGGCTCATCTGCCGCACGGCCCCTCCTCTGCTCACAGATCTCGCTGCAGCAGGCAGAGCTGCAGTCCCTGCGGGAAGAGCTGCAGAGGCAGAAGGAGCTGCGGGCGCAGGAAGACCCTGGGGAGGCCCTGCACAGTGCCCTCTCAGACCGGGACGAGGCCGTGAACAAGTAAGCCTCAAGCCATCCACCACCACCACAGCGCCCTCTGGGCCCTCCTGGGCTCCTGATTCCTCTTCTGATACGGGTTATAATGATCCCCACTCCCACCCAGGGGCCCACTGACCTCCTTGAGCTAGGTGTTGGCAGCCCTCCTCCCGTTCGGGTCCAGAATTCCCCCGCCACCCCGGCTCCCTGAAGCCCTAGTGCCCTCAAACGCGTCGTCCGCCCCTCCCCGCCTAGGGCCCTGGAGCTGTCCCTGGAGCTCAACCGCGTCTCGCTGGAGCGAGACTCCCTGTACCGGGAGCTGCTGCGCGCCATCCGCCAGAAGGTGGCGCTCACGCAGGAGCTGGAGGCCTGGCAGGTGAGGGGCGGGGTCCGTGTGCGGAGGAGGGCAGGGGGCTGGACCGGTGCTGAGCCGACCACGGCCTCCCGCAGGACGACATGCAGGTGGTGATCGGGCAGCAGCTGCGCTCACAGCGCCAGAAGGAACTGAACGCCGCCGCGTCGTCGTCGACCCCGCGCCGTGCCGCGCCCCGCTTCTCGCTGCGCCTGGGCCCCGGGCCCGCCGGTGGCTTTCTCAGCAACCTCTTCCGAAGGACCTGACGGCTGGGCCCAGGGGCTGCCCTTGCCCGCTTAGGGGCTCACTTTCCTCTTCTGGCCAATTAAGTGACAGGGCCTGGATTATCTTCCAAAAGGAGATGATGCCCTCCCCACCCCAGGATGCTGGGCAAGGGCTCATCGGCAGCAGGGGCTCATCCGGAGCAGGGGCCAGCTTTGTGGGGCAGGAGCCCCTGGTGGGTGGCAGGGGCAGGTGAACAGAGCTATTTTCCGAATCAATATAGGTCTATCTTTTCTAGGGCAGGGATGGGGCTGGGTATTTATGTATCAAGATGGGACAGAGTAATATATAAATCACTCCACCGATTTAGCCTCCATTCGTGGAAAGAAAGAGCATGGAAAAAAAGCCTGAAACTTTATTGTAAAAAAGAAAATGAAAAACACTCTAAAACCCTGGGCTGGCTGGGGATGTTGTCGGAGGTCAGAAGGACAGGGAGAAGGCTCGGTAGCCCAGGTTGGTGAAGACATCCACCCGGCAGCTGTTACCTGCAGCTGTCAGGACCTGGAGGAAAGAGGGGCATGACTGGCCTGCCCACACCCCTGCCTCCCAGCCACCCCATGGCCCCTGCCAGACCCACCTTGCACTCGGGCGCGGCGGGCTGCTGGTTGAGGCTGAGGCTGAGCAGCCCTGGGGAGGAGCCAGGCACCTGGGCCTTCAGCTCCCCGCTCAGCTGCCACTGGTTGACACAGCGGCCCTGGCCAGCCGACAGAATCTGCAGAGGACAGGGAAGGTGCTCGGGGGTCACGACTGAAGGGAAGAGTCAGTTGGGGTGGCAGAAGTGAGAGAGAGGGACTCACCAGGTCCTGGTAGAAGGTGACATGCTTCTGTGGCGCCCGGATGGGGAAGACAGTGGTAGGTGTGGAGGATCGGAGGTGCCAGAGGGTGAGGGCTGGGCCCCCTCCACAGACCTGGACAGAAAGGTGGGAGTCCCCAGCTGTGAACTACAGGCCCACAGCTGACAGGGCCCGGAGCTGCCATCCAATCCCACAGTCTGCCCAGCTCACCATCCAGTCGGAATCAGTTGCCAAGCATCCGATCCAGCGTCCATTGTGGGGCCTTGAGCACTCCTGGGCGGCGGGGGAGGGAAAGAGGTGAAGACATGCAGAATTCAAGGAGCGGGAGGGGAAGAGGACAATGGCCATGGACAGACCCTCACCTCGTGCTTATAGACCTCGATCGTCTGGACCTCCTTGGCTGTGCGCAGGTCTGCGGGGAAAGAACTGTGAGTGGTGCCCCATTCACCTCAGCCTCCTTCACTGCCATCTTGCCCTCCAGCCAGCCACCTCCTTACCCCAAAGTCGAACAGCTCCATCCTCGCCACCTGACAGCACCTCTGGGCTCCTTTCCCGCAGTGCCAGGCAATGGATGTAGTCTGTGTGGCCCCGGAGGACCCGCTGCATGTAGAGGGGCGATGTCAGGAGGAGACCTAGGAAGAGTGCCTCTCCCTGGCCTGGACCTGCTCTAGGGCTCCAAGACCCTGCTCACCGTGAAAGTCCCAGTTTCAAGGTCCATAGTGTGCAACTGACAGTCTCCCCCAGCCAGGATGAGGGAGTTCTCCTGTGGAGGGAGCAGGGTGAGGCAGGAAGTCAATGTCAAATCAGGGTAGGCAGAGGGTGAAGGATCAAAGTTTGGACAAGAACAGTCACATGGGGCTCAGACCTTGGGGACCAGCAGCAGAGCATTGATCTCGGGCACTTCCAGGCTGGTCCTGGGGAAGGAAAGGCAGGGTCAGTGAGGAAGTCACTTCACCCCGATGCCCCCTCTATCCATGTGGCCCTGGCTCACCTGTATGGAGGCTGCCGATGCCACAGCTCCTTACACCCCTTCAAAAGGGAAAATACCAGTTGACCTCAAAGGCTCTCTCTGGGTCCCGGCACCCCAGCCCTTTCCCGAGCTCAACTCCTTACCTTCTTGAGCATCTCCGCCCAAAGCCAGGCCTTCACCTCCCCATCCCCAGCACTAAGCAGATGTCGATCGGTGGAGACCATGCTATAGACAGGCCCATCATGGGCTAAAGAGAAATGCAGAACTGAGTTGACCAATTCCACCCAAAGTCCCGAAGCCAGACTCCACAGCTATACCCACCTTGGAAAGTCACCACCGGCTTCTTACTTTCCTCTTTGGCTTCGGAGCTCAAAGCAGCGGACAAGCTGCAGGGGACAGCGGAGGGGACCCAGGAGTCAGAAACAGGGGCATCCGTCCCATGAGGGCCAAGTGCCAGGGCTAATGGGTGGACAGCGGCAGAGGGTACCTGAAGATGGCAATCTGCCCATAATTGTTGCCAGCCGCCAGAAACTTCCCACACGGTGAGACGCTCTGGGAGAAGATGGTCATATGGAGCCGCTGCAAGGCCTGGAACACCTCTGTCTGCAGGGAAGAACTGGATGAGGCCTGCCTGGGATGTATGAAACCTCCCAGCCACAGACTCCTTCCTGCTTCCCCCAACACCTGCCAGGCCTCCCACTGTCCTGACTTCTCAGCCCTCTTTTGAGGCGGCCCGGCCCCAAGCCAGCACTTGCCCATGCAGTCCCATGGGCGGCTCCAAGAAGACACTGAAGAAGGGGCGAGTCGAGGTGATGCCTCAGGGACCTCTGAGCAAGCACCCAGCACTCTCCTACCAGCTTCCTCAACTGTCAAGTGGAGCTCACAGAAGATTCCATCACCATTAGATGAGCTAGTGTATAGACAAGAGCTTTCCATGGGGCTGTCACTCAGTGCTGAAGCCGGGTGTGGTGGCTCATGCCTGTCATCCACTGCTTGGGGAGGCCAGGAGTTCGAGAGCAGCCTGGTCAAAATAGTGAGACTCCGTCTCAACAAAAAATTTAAAAATGTGGGGCCGGGCGCAGTGGCTCACGCCTGTAATCCCAGCACTTTGGGAGGCCGAGGTGGGCGGATCACCTGAGGTCTGGAGTTCCAGACCAGCCTGACCAACATGGAGAAACCCATCTCTACTAAAAATACAAAATGAGCTGGGAGTGGTGGCGCATGCCTGTAATCTCAGCTACTTGGGAGACTGAGGCAGGAGAACTGCTTGAATCTGGGAGGCGGAGGCTGTGGTGAACCAAGATGGAGCCATTGCACTCCAGCCTGGGCAACAAGAGTGAAACTTCATCTCAAAAAAAAAAATGGCCGGGCGCGGTGGCTCAAGCCTGTAATCCCAGCACTTTGGGAGGCCGAGACGGGCGGATCACGAGGTCAGGAGATCGAGACCATCCTGGCTAACACGGTGAAACCCCGTCTCTACTAAAAATACAAGAAAATTAGCCGGGCGAGGTGGTGGGCGCCTGTAGTCCCAGCTACTCGGGAGGCTGAGGCAGGAGAATGGCGTGAACCCGGGGGAGCGGAGCTTGCAGTGAGCCGAGATCGCGCCACTGCACTCCAGCCTGGGGCACAGAGCAAGACTCCGTCTCAAAAAAAAAAAAAAAAAAAAAATGTGGCCAGGCATGGTGACTCACACCTGTAATCCCAGCACTTTGGGAGGCTGAGGCGGGAGGATCACCTGAGGTCAGGAGTTCGAGACCAGCCTGGTCAACACGGTGAAACCCTGTATCTACTAAAAACACAAAATTAGCTGGGCATGGTGGCACACGCCTGTAGTCCCAGCTACTCAGGAAACTGAGGCAGGAGAATCGCTTGAACCCAGGAGGCGGAAGTTGCAGTGAGCTGAGATCGTGCCACTACACTCTAGCCTAGTTGACAGAGTGAGACTCCGTCTCAAAAAAAAAAAAAGTGCTTTGCAGGAACTAGAAAATTAAAAAAAAAAAATAGGGGTGGCTCTACTACCCCAACATAGAAAAACGTACTGATTTATAATCCCTACTCTCTGTCTTGCGTTAAGCCCCTGAGGCACTTCTGGGTTACTCTCCCGCCCCCCGGTCAGCGTCTGAGTTCCACAAATAGCCCAGGCAAAATAGGACTCAAAGGGCACAATTCCCTGCCCGCCCCGTCCCAGCCATGAATGGACTACAAATCCCAGAAGGCAACGCGCACCACGTCCGTCTCACCTGACCCAGCGGTACCGCGAGCGGCACAGCTCGCTCCATCTCCAGAACTACAAGTCCCAGAGTGCTCCGCGTGCCACGCAACTTCACGAGGCCTTACGTGCCTACAGCGGTTCCTCTCCGTGGCGCCCTACTGCCTTCGGCGCGAAGGGGGCTGCTGCGTACCGTCCTGAACCCCAGGAGCCGAGGTGAGCGCCGCGAAGACCCCCGACATTAAGAAGTGGTGTCCACCGCAGCCCCGCTAAGCCGGATACCCTCCCCCACCCCGAGGAGCAAGCCTGCCTTCCGCCACGCGCCGCCCTTCTTCGGCGCCCGCGCAGAACCTCGCCGCTGTGCCCGCCTAAAGCCACGCCCATCCTCGCTGGGCCACGCCCTCAGAGACTCCTCCCCTGTCGCCCAGATCCCACCCGCAGGACCCCAAAACCCAATGATCCTTCAGCAGCCCTTGGAGCGAGGCCCCCAGGGTGGGGCCCAGCGCCTCCCGCGGGCCGCCTTGGGGGTGACTCGGGGCCTGGACGCCAGGTGCGTGTGGGGGACCAGGGTGGGCCTGACCAAGGGCCGCAGGAGCTTTGGCTGGGTGCTCAGGGCTGGTCTGCAGGATGAACACGGGGTGGGGCGAATCGGTGGGGCTTAGGCGTGAGCTGAGATGGTATTGGGGCTGCAGTTCAGGGTCCAGACTTCCGAAGTACGCTGCTGGATGGCCCAGGAGAGGGGGGACCAGCACCAGCTGAGACAGTAATGGGCTTGGGGCTCCTGGCTGATGCTGCAGGCTCAGGCAGGCATATCCTTGGGAAGGGGCCAAGAGGGTGGGGTGCACCAGGCTCTCTTTTTTCCCCAGCTCCCCTCTCCGAGGAGCTGTGCCCATGAGCACCAAGCGGCGCCTGGAGGAGGAGCAGTGAGTTTGGGGGCAGGGAGGGACTCCCAACGAGAGCTCTGTCACCTCTGGTCCCCAACAGGCTGCCTCCTGTCTCAATATCCCAGCCTGCCTCTCTCCCATCTCTCCCCAGGGAGCCTCTGCGCAAGCAATTTCTGTCTGAGGAGAACATGGCCACCCACTTCTCTCAACTCAGCCTGCACAATGACCACCCCTACTGCAGCCCCCCCATGGCCTTCCCCCAAGCCCTGCCCCCACTCAGGTAGGCTCCTCCACTGGCCAGGCCTTCTGCAGAATCACAGGCGGTCCTCGCAGCTGACCTCAGGCCCTGCCTCATCGTGCCATTTTTAGCTCTAGCTGACCTCTGGGTTGTTTCTCATCTTCGCTCTTTGGAAAGTGCTGGGAACCCAGGAGTCCCTGGGGACCTGGACCTGGTGGGAGGTGCTCAGCTAGGCCAGCCTTAGCCCCATGCCCTGACAGTCATTTCTTCTTCTAGAAGCCCTTGCTCTGAGCTGCTTCTCTGGCGCTACCCTGGCAGCCTCATCCCCGAGGCCCTCCGTCTGCTGAGGCTGGGGGACACCCCCAGTCCCCCCTACCCTGCAACCCCAGCTGGAGACATAACGGAGCTCTGAGTGCTGGTGGACTGCCCCTCCCACCTTCCTTCTTCCCCACAACAGAAGAGACCAGCGACTCCTGCAAAGGGACAAGGTTCCTCCCTCTCCTGCAGACCAGGCATCTGGGCACCAAGACCTTCCCTCAACAGAGGACACTGAGCCCAACGGAGCTCTGGGATGGGAGGGGTGGGAGCATGGGAAGGGAGGCATCCCACCCCCAAGAAGAACTGAATAAAGATTGCTGAGCAAAGGAAGGCTTCAGTCTAGAACCTGGGGCTTTTGGGGATGGTGGAGAGGGCAGAGGTGCGGGATGCTGGGGTTTCTCCTCAAGATCTTCCCTGGAAAACTGTTAGGGCCAGCCAGGTCCTGGCCGGCTGAGTTCCAGGCATTGAGAATGTGTGAGTCAGAGCCTCACCCCCGCCCCCGCGGCTGGCTGACTCACTCCCTCCCTCCAGCTCAGGGGAGTCAGTCGGGGATCACTGCCTCTCCAAACCATTTAAAGTTAAAGATTCTTTTATTAATAAATTCTCCCTCCCCTCCAAACTCTCCCCAAAATAAATATCTCCTCCCCTCTTTAGGGAGTTGGGGGGGTCGGTATCTTAGGGCCAGCCCTCCTAGTGGGCCAGCCCCCTAGTGTTAAAAATAGGTCCCTAACCCCCCAGGGTGACCCCCATGGTGGAATTTCAGGACATCTGAGTGAGTGGGGCCTAGTGTCAAGTCTGCCCCCCAAGTCAGCCTGGCCCCCAGGGCCTCTAGGAAGGAGGACACCCCCCCCTGTGCAAATGCTGCCGTTCCTTAAGTCAGTGTCAGCTGTTTTGTGTGAGCCAGCGTGAGGCTCCCTTTCTGTTCTGGGGCCAGAGGCAGGGCAACCAGACACCTTGGAAGGTTCCCCTGAACCCTGGGCCCAGGCCTCAGAGGTGATTCACCGCCCCCCACCCCCCTTGTGGTTGGAGGAGCTTGGCTCCTGCCGCGTCTGGGAGGCAGAGACTGGCTCTAGAATGGATGAATGAATGATGAGTGGGCGAGCCCCGGCTGGCAGGGGGCACATTGTCACTGGATCAGCGCCACAGCTGGGCAGCCCTCTCCGCCGGTCTCCTCTATGGGGGCTGCAAGATAAGAGGTGGGGTCGTCAGGGGCAGAGAAAAGGTCGAGTGCTGACAGGGCTGGGCAGGCCAGGGCGCACTTACTGGTGAACTTCTCTCTCCTGCGGCATCGTCTCCAGACCAGAAAGCCAGAAAGCAGCCCCAGCACGAAGGTCAGACTCAGAGCGCCCCCAAGGATGGGCCAAAGCAGCCGGAAGGGGGCAGGAGGTGCCGCAGCGCCTGGGGGCGGGACTCGGAGTCAGACCTCGCCCCTCTCCAGGCCAGCCCCGCCCCCTAAGACTGAGCCTTCAGCCTTCTCCCAACCGTGGCCTCCTCCCTGACCCGGGCCACCTTCCAACTCCCACCTTCTCCCGATTGACTTCCCCGATGCAAAGCTCTCGGCCCCCCTCTCCGCACCAGCCACCCTCTCTCCCAGTCTGGGGTCCGCTGGCCACTGGCCCTGCCCCCCACTCACAGCCCAGGCAGAAGTCGCTGTGCGGTCGCGCCCTGCAAGACGCGCAGTCCATGCACTTGTCCAGGTCCGCGCTCCAGGAACTGCCGCGGGAGCAGGGGGCGGTGCCTGGGGAGGGGGCCTCGGGTCAGAGGCTGGGGGCGGGACTCGGCTATTCTGGGGTCTGAGGTCAGGGTCGGCCGGCTCGAATAACGTGAGTCACTGGCGCCCTCCCCGCGCATTCCTCACAGGTGACCGCACGGCCCGACCGGGACACGGCAGCTCCGGGAGGGAGGGCGTAGCGCGGGACGCTGGGGGTGGGGGGGGGTCAGGTCCCCACAACCCCCCTGCCGCCGGCGAGTGACTCACTCCTGGGCACCGGGCCCGACCCCGGTCCCTCCCCCCGCATAGCTGGGCACTGAAGTCACCGGATGGAAGGGGGCACCCCACATGGTATAGAGGGCACAGACCCTAGTGCCTCTCGACGGCCTCCCCAACTCGTCGGTCACTGGGGCTAGTTAGACCCTGTACTGACCAGGCTGGGGGCGTGCCCCTTCCTAGACTAAACATCCCGCCCTCACTTACTTTCTCTCTCCACTTCCAAGTACTTTCGGACTTTCGGAACCGAAGAACCCACCCCAACCCCAATTGGACGGTGGGAGAAACTGAGGCCCGGATTGTGAATGAAACTTGGAGAGTGATGGAAGTTCCCACAGCCGGGAGCGAGCTGTTAGAAGGCCACCTGAACCCAGATACCCACATCCGCCTGTTTCCCCAGTTCCGCGCTGTTCTCCAGGCACCCAATCCGGCTCCCGAGCCCCGGATCGGGGTTCTCCGACCCCCAAGTCCCGCGTACCTGGCGCTTGCTCCCCAGCCACGGAGCGCAGCAACGCCAGCCAGAGCCCCAGCACGAGGAGCCGCAGCAACCGGCGCAGCGAACCCCGAGCCATAGTGCACGTCCCGCACCCGCCGCTGTCTGCGCCCGCCGCCGGCCGGCAGGGACCCACGGCCGCCGCCCCGCCTCCGCCCCCGCCTTCCGGGGCGGAGCTCTCGCCTCCGCCCGCCTTGAGTTTGGCTGCGGGACGCCCCGCCCCGCGGGGCCCGCTCAGTTCAGTCATTCATTCAACAAAGTCCTGGTGCGGGAGCTGCCAGGACCCCGCAGGGACGCAGACCCCTCCCTTGCCCAGCAGGTGATCTAGTCCAGCGCGCGTGGGGTGGGGAAATAAAAAATCAGACACGAGTGCTCTCTTCGGCATCTCATATAGAAATCAGACATGAACGGCCGGGCGCGGTGGCTCACGCCTTTAATCCCATCAATTTGGGAGGCTGAGGCAGGCGGATTAGGAGGTCAGGAGTTCGAGAGCAGCCTGACCAACGTGATGAAACGCCGTCTCTACTCAAAATACAAAAATTAGCCGGGCGTGGCAACGCGCGCCTGTAATCCTAGTTACTCAAGAGGCTGAGGCAGGAGAATCGCTTGAACCCGGGAGGCGGAAGTTGCAGTGAGCCGAGATGGCGCCACTACACTCCAGCCTGGGCGATAGAGAGTCCTTCTCAAATAAATAAATAAATAAATAAATAAATAAATAAATAAATAAAATCAGACACATGAACAATCCATGCAGAGATCACTGCAGCTTCCTTTTTTTTTCCTCCCCTTGAGATCGCGTCTTCCTCTTGTTCAGCCTGGAGTGCAGTGGTACGATCACGGCTCTCTGGGCTCGAGTCTCCCACCTCAGCCTCCCAAGTAGGGACCACAGGCACTGCGCCAGCACACACGACTAATTTTTGTATTTTTTGTAGAGACCAGGGTCTCACTATGTTGCCCAGACTAGCCTGGCCACTGCAGCTTTCTTAAGGCCCCTGGGGGTATAACAATTAAACCTGAGGTCAGGAGTTCGAGACCAGCCTGGCCAACATGGTGAAACCCCGTCTTTACTAAAACCAAAAATAAAAAAAGAAAGAAATTAGCTGGGCGTGGTGGTGGGCACCTGTAATCTCAGCTACTTGGGAGACTGAGGCAGAAGAATTGCTGGAACCCGGGAGACGGAGGTTGCAGTCAGCTGAGATAGCGCCATTTCACTCCAGACTGGGCGACAGAAAGGGCCCCCATCTCAAAAAATCAAAATAGGCCGGGCGCTGTGTTTCAGGCCTGTAATCCCAGCACTTTGGGAGGCTGAGGCGGGCGGATCAGAGGTCAGGAGATCGAGACCATCCTGGCTAACATGGTGAAACCCCATCTCTACTAAAAATACAAAAAATTAGTCAGGCGTGGTGGTGGGCGCCTATAGTCCCAGCTACTTGGGAGGCTGAGGCAGGAGAATGGCGTGAACCCGGAAGGCGGAGCTTGCAGCGAGCAGAGATCGCGCCACTGCACTCCAGCCTGGGCGACAGAGCTAGACTCTTTACAAAAAACAACAAAAAAAATCATAACAACATAAAAATAATATTATCTGGCCGGGCGCGGTGGCTCAAGCCGGTAATCCCAGCGCAGTGCGAGGCCAAGGTGGGCGGATCGCTTGAGCCCCAGAGTTCGAGACGCCTGGGCAATATAGCAAGACCCTGTCTGTACAAAACATAAATTAGCTGGGCGCGGTGGCGTGTGCCGCCTGTAGTCCGAGCTACTCAGGAGGCTGAAGCGGGAGGATCGCTTGAGCCTGGAAGGTCGAGGCTGCAGTGAGCCGTGATCGCACCACTGCACTCCAGCCTGGGTGACACAGTGAAAATATTTCTCTAAAATAATACCAATAGTTTGCCCTGTAATTTGTAACTTAGGACGTAGTTACATAATAAAATGCAGACTTATCTCCATTTTACGGAGTAGGAAACGAAGGCTCGGGTAGGTTAGGTGAGTTCCCCATGTCATCGCGCTGCTTAAGTGGCAAAGCGGAGACTCAAGCTCTGTTCTTCCCTAAGCCTGGCGCCCTCACCCTGGGTGAGTCTGGCAGCTACCTCAGCCTCCAGCGCCCCCCTCTGACAAGCCTGGGATTCGCACGTCCGCTGCCGTCGGGGACAGGGTCTCTGCCCCTCCTCCGGGGCGGTGGTCCAGTGACGTCACCGCTTCTTTAAGACCCCCGCCTCCGCCCTATCCCGACACTCGGCCTAGGAATTTCCCTTATTGTCTTCGCAGGTGAGTCCCGGGCAAGTGTGAGTGTTGGAGAGACGCCTCTTGGGGCCGGGTGCAGGGTGCTGGCGGCGTGGGTAGGGGTGCGTGCGAACTCGGGCTGCGGCCACCTGGATGCGCGAGTCCCTCAGGGGGTCGGGCGGTCTGCGCCCAAGCCGCCGAGGTGATCGGGTCCTTCGAGGCTCCCAAGGGTTAAACGCCCCTCCCCCCTCCCCAGGGACAAAGACACCGAAACCCCGCGCGCCCCTCCCCCACCTGTCTTGCCTTTCGGGGCGGGGCTCCCCTCCCCCTTCCCCCTCGCTTGGGGGAGCAGACCTTGCGGCCACTGCAGCTATAGAACCCTTCCTGGGCGAGCGGCTCCCAGGCTGGAGGGGTCGGGTGGGCCCGGGCGCCCTCGGACAGAGTCGGGCCTGCAGTGCATGGAAAAGAAAGGGGCAGGGGCACACTCACAGGGGAGAGGCTTGGGGCGCCTAGACCAGCGTGGCCCCGACCCTAGCTCAGCCAGAAGCCTAACGGCCGGACCTGGGCGTTGGGGCAGCCTGCCCCAGCCAGTCTCCCCAAGGTGACCTGCTCTGCCCAGGCCTGGGACTCCCGGCTAATGAGTAGAGCCTGCCCTCCGGCCACTGCTGGCCGGGATAAGTTTAGGTCCAAGCTGTACAATGGAAGAACTCTGGGCAGTGGGAGGCCCCAGCAGTGGGAAGCCCTGGTCAGAGATGACCCCCTCCGCGACCTCCAACACTGCCTGGGATATGAGGGGACACAGGTGCAGGCCAGGTGGTGGTGGGAGAACTGCTGTCGAGGGGAATCTAGCACAGCATTTGGTCTAGAATTCACAGGAAAAGGCCCTCAAGTTTTGAGGCTATGCTCTCCAGCCCCTAGGGGAGGTCAGAAGGGTGGGACCAGGGAGTCATTGAGTGACTTTGGGGAAGGAACTGCTTTTAGGTGGAGGATTAATGATGTTTTTCTTCATCTCTCCTGCCCCTGGTGTCTGCCAGCCTAGGGTGTGGAACCAAGTTGTGAGGAATGTTGGGTGGTGGGAGGAAGCTTGGGATCTTCAATCTTAGTGTTGAAATTAACAAGTTTTGGTCCGGTGCGATGGCTCACACCTGTAATCCCAGAACTTTGGGAGGCTGAGGCAGGCGGATCACCTGAGGTCACGAGTTCAAGACCAGCCTGGCCAACTTGGTGAAACCCCATCTCTACTAAAAATACAAAAATTAAGGCCAGGTGCGGTGGCTCATGCCTGCAATCCCAGGACTTTGGGAGGCCGAGGCGGGCAGATCACGAGGTCAGGAGATCGAGACCATCCTGGCTAACACAGTGAAACCCCGCCTCTACTAAAAATACAAAAAATTAGCTGGGCATGGTGTCGGGCGCTTGTATTCCCAGCTACTCGGGAGGCTGAGGCAGGAGAATGATGTGAACCCAGAAGGAGGAGCTTGCAGTGAGCCGAGATCGCACCACTGCACTCCAGCCTGGGCGACAGAGCGAGACTCCCTCTCAAAAAAAAAAAAAAAAATTATCCGGGCGTGGTGGTGTGCAGCTGTAATCGCAGCTACTTGGGAGGCTGAGGCAGGAGAATCACTTGAACCTGGGAGGCACAGGTTGCAGTGAGCCGAGATTACACCACTGCACTCTAGCCTGGGCCACTGAGCGAGACTCCTTGTCTCAAACAACAACAACAAAAAGAAATGGACAAGTTTTGAGCCTTAAACTCAGGGCTAGAACTGAACCATTCTACACGGAGACTGCTTGGAAATCACACTGTCTTCTCATCCTGCTTTTTGCTGACTTGCAGCCTGATCACTGGCTCTGGCCTTGGACTGTCATTGCATAGGTTTCATCCTGTTATTTTTCATTTGCACTCAGAATAGCCAGGGCAGGGCTGCTTGCACATTCACTGTTATGAGCCAGTGCCTATCACATAACTAGAAAGAATAATAAATGCTAAAGCATTAAGTGTTCATTTTGCCCATGAGAAGTGAGGCTCAGGGAGCATGTCTTGACCGAGTTCCGGGATGTGATGACCACTTTCCATGGTGTATGCCCCTAGTGTCCTGTCCACATGTGGCCTGAGGTCTGGGCCTGCCAGGCCTCACCTTGCTGTGCTTCTGTCCCAAATACAGTGCAGCTCCTTCAACCTCGCCATGGCCTCTGCCGGAATGCAGATCCTGGGAGTCGTCCTGACACTGCTGGGCTGGGTGAATGGCCTGGTTTCCTGCGCCCTGCCCATGTGGAAAGTGACCGCTTTCATCGGCAACAGCATCGTGGTGGCCCAGGTGGTGTGGGAGGGCTTGTGGATGTCCTGCGTGGTGCAGAGCACCGGCCAGATGCAGTGCAAGGTGTACGACTCACTGCTGGCACTGCCGCAGGACCTGCAGGCTGCACGTGCCCTCTGTGTCATTGCCCTCCTCGTGGCCCTGTTCGGCTTGCTGGTCTACCTTGCTGGGGCCAAGTGTACCACCTGTGTGGAGGAGAAGGATTCCAAAGCCCGCCTGGTGCTCACCTCTGGGATTGTCTTTGTCATCTCAGGGGTCCTGACGCTAATCCCCGTGTGCTGGACGGCGCATGCCATCATCCGAGACTTCTATAACCCCCTGGTGGCTGAGGCCCAAAAGCGGGAGCTGGGGGCCTCCCTCTACTTGGGCTGGGCAGCCTCAGGCCTTTTGTTGCTGGGTGGGGGGCTGCTGTGCTGCACTTGCCCCTCAGGGGGGTCCCGGGGCCCGAGCCATTACATGGCCCGCTACTCGACATCTGCCCCTGCCATCTCTCGGGGGCCCTCTGAGTACCCCACCAAGAATTACGTCTGACGTGGAGGGGAATGGGGGCTCCGCTGGCACTAGAGCCATCCAGAAGTCCAACAGCTTTGGGATAGGTTGGTATCTTTTGTTTCTGCCTTCTGCTGTTTTTCTTTTGACTGAGGGTATTTAAAATTCATTTGAAAACTGAACCAAGATGGCTCAGACTCCCACTTAGGCTCTGCTGTTTCTCACCCTTGGATGATGGAGCCAAAGAGGGGATGCTTTGAGATTTTGGATCTTGACATGCCCATCTTAGAAGCCAGTCGAGCTGTGGAACTAACGTGGGGGCTGCTTGCTGTGCTGGCCTTTGCAACAAGACAGACTGTCCCCAAGAGTTCCTGCTGCTGCTGGGGGCTGGGCTTCCCTAAACGTCACTGGACAGCTGCCCCCCATCCTACTTGGGCCTCCGGAGCTCCTCTCATCACCCCCTGGAAAAGCGAGTGACCTGCTAACAAAGGACTGCCCACCCCCAGAACTTCTGACCTCTGGCTCTTCCATCCTGATAGGACGTCCACCCCCGGGGCCAGGTCCCAGCTATGTAGACCCCCACCTCCACCTCCAACACTGCACCCTTCTGCCCTGCCCGCCCCTTTACACTCACATTTTTACCAAATAAAGCATGTTTTGTTAGTGCGTTTGGTGTTGCAGGGGGTTACTGAGTGCCCACCCTGGCTAGGGGAAGAGGTAGGCATAAGTGAGTCATGATCTCCTCTGCCCATGGCTTGAGTGAGCATACCTACCAGGCAGAACCTGGAGCCAGACCTTGGCCTGACAGCCACCAAGGGAGGCTACCTGGCTGTCCCTGCCCAGCCCTAGTGGCGGCACACAGATAGAGGGAGCCCAGTTACAAATGCTCTTTATTTCCAACTCGCGGGTGGGGGTGTTGGGGAGGGGAGGTGATGGGCAGGCCCTCCCTGCCAACTCCAGGGTTGGGAGGGCATGGTCTGCTCCTTGGTTTTGGAGCCAATGAGCTGTTGCCCTTTCGGTGAGGTCAGGGTTCCTGGGACAGGGGAGGGCTCAGAAGAGAAGGAAGGCCAGCCAGTATCCTGGGCAACGGAAGGAAACAACTACCGGGGAGGCGGGGGCAGGCCAGGGTGCCCAACACCTCTAGGCTGCCCAGCTTGGGGGAGAACATCAAAGGGGACCCCATTGAGAAGAGCTCAGCCAGGCCAGCTGACCCAGCCCTGCGGCCAGGTATAGCTTAGGCTTTTGGAAAGTGGGTTTTCCTGGGGAAGGAGGTTGTGGTGGAGCAGGGCATCTGGTCACCAGGCCAAGGTGGAAGGTGCGGAGCAGTGGGGAGCAGCGGGCTCCCAGGGGAAGCCTCTGCCTCACACGTAGTCCCTCTTGTCCAGTCCAGACGCGCCTGAGCGGGAGGGGATGGAGTAGCCCAGCCTCGGTCCACGGGGCCGCTCGACCTGGGGCGGGGGGCACGTGCAGCAGAGGAGCCCCCCGCCCAGCATAAGCAGTGCGGCTGCCGCCCAGCCCAGGTAGAGGGAGGCTCCCAGCTCCCGCTTGAGGGCCTCAGCCACCAGGGGGTTGTAGAAGTCCTGGATGATGGCGTGCGCCGTCCAGCACACAGGGATGAGCACCAGGATGCCAGCGAGGAGGAGGATGACTCCCGCGGTGAGCATGATACGGGCCTTGGCACCTTCATCCTCCACACATGTGGTACACTGGGCACCTGTGATGGCCAACAGGAGGCCAAGCAGGGCCAGCAGGAGGGCGATGACACAGAGGGCACGTGCAGCCTGCAGGTCCTGTGGCAGTGCCAGCAGCGAGTCGTACACCTTGCACTGCATCTGGCCCGTGCTCTGCACCACGCAGGACATCCACAGCCCCTCCCACACCACCTGGGCCACTACGATGCTGTTGCCGATGAAGGCGGTCACCTTCCACAGGGGCAGGGCACAGGACACCAGGGTCCCCAGCCAGCCCAGCACAGCCAGGGTCATGCCCAGCAGTTCTAAGCCAGTCGAAGCCATCTGGCCCCTCGGTTAGGTCTTCTCAGCCCCAGGCAGCCTAGGTGACTCAAAGGGTGTGTCTGGTGTGCTGGGTGGGTGTCTCCGTGCCCAGCAGGAGGGGAAGGCTTGTTGGTGTCCCCAGGCCAGGCCAGTCCTCAGTTCTGTGAACCTCTTGAAAGGCTCCTCCTCTCCGTGCCTCTTGCAGGTGTCTCTGGTCCTTGCAGAGTACAAAGCAGACTCCTGGTCCCACTCAGCTGAGTGGTGGGTGTCACCTTGAGGGGCCTCTGCCCATCAAATGCCGTGAGGGTGCTGCTGCTCTTGCCACCCTGCTGTCACACCTGGGCTGAGCTCACACGGGCCCTCCGGATGCACTGCCAGGCTGAGGACATCTGCGTCCCCTGCGGGCTGGCACAGGTTCCCACCAAGCGACTCTGACAGTGCCACCTGAGGACTCTGCAGGCTCTCAGCTGCAGGCGGGGTTTTAAGGCCCAGGTAGGGGAGGAGCAGAGTGAAGTGCAGGGAGGCCAGGATAGGGGAGACCTGAGCCATGGGGAGGGTGCGGGGCTGGGGATTCATGGGCAGCGGGTGGATGAGGGGCCTGGGGGGTCAGTGGGGGACGCCACGACTGAGTCAGGGGAGGAAAAGCATCCATAGCATCTGTGCATGTGGGAACCAAGGGTAAAGGAGGGGAAGATGGAGGACAAGCTGAGGAAGAAGAGAGGGATTGGGGGCCAAAAAAGTAACAGGCTCAGGACAGAAACACACACAGGGGGCGTTGGCCTGCCTTCCTGAGCCTCCTCCTCCCACAGCCCCTCCGGCCGCCTCTGCTCTCCCCCAGCCCAGTTTCGTGATGCAAACATGCCCCAGCTCCCCGAGTATCACACACCCCCACCCGCCTGGGACTCTCAGGAATCTGATCCATCCCCGTCTCAGCCCAGTGGCCCTGCTAGCTCCCAGGGGAAGAGCCCCGCCCGTACTGTTCCCCGGACAACAGGTGCCTGGCACCCAGCTCAGGTGGCATCACCCTGGCAACGGCCTAGAAAACTACCCCCCCTTCAACCTCAGCTCAGGTGCGCTCTTGCCACCCCCGCTGCTGAAACCAAGGTTGAGCTGAGCTGCCTAAGGTCTCCAGAGGCCAGAGGATAAGGGGCCTGTTGTGAAGTTGGGGGACCCTCAGGAAGGGGGATGGAGGTGGGAGGGGCTTGGGCTGGAACCCAGGGTGAGGCGCAGCCCAGGATACAGTTATCTTCCATGAGTGGGTGAGTGAGTGGCCAGTCAGGCCTCCCGGGACAAGACACCCCAGAGGTGGGCACGGGAGTTAAGTCCGGGGACTCAAGTGTCCCCAAGACCTGCCTTCCAGTGTGCAGGAAATCCTTTCCTCTGGAAAAACTCCCTCAGAGCCTGTGATTCCACTCACGGAGACAGCCTGGGAGTCCCAGTGACCGAAGCTCAAATCCTGACCCCTATCTGGGACAGATCATGGAAGGTCAAGGTCCTTAACGTCCTTTGGTCAAAGACCCACTTGAGAAACCCCATGGGACTCACAGAAAAAGCACCCACAAAAATGTGCCCCTCATTTGTGGGGGAGTATTCATGAACTCCCTCAAGCCCCTGCCCAGGTGCTAAGAACCTCTGAAGATTGTTGTCTGAAAAGGGGGTGTGACGGCCGGGTGCGGTGACTCACGCCTGTAATCCCAGCGCTTTGGGAGGCCAAGGCGGGTGAGTTACCAGGGCAGGAGTTTGAGAGCAGCCTGGCCAACATGGTGAACCCCATCTGTACTAAAAATACAAAAAAATTAGGTATCCCAGCACTTTGAGAGGCCGAGGCAGGCAGATCAGGAGGTCAAGAGATCGAGACCATCCTGGCCAACATGGTGAAACCCTGTCTCTACTAAAAATACAAAAGTTAGCTGGGCATGGTGGCACGAGCTTGTAGTCCCAGCTACTCGCTACTCTGGAGGCTGAGGCAGAAGAATCACTTGAACCCAGGAGGCGGAGGTTGCAGTGAGCCAAGATTGCACCACTCCACTCCAGCCTGGCGACACAGTGAGATTCCGTCTCGGAAAAAAAAATTAGCTGGCTGTCGTGGCGGGCGCCTGTAATCCCAGCTACTTGGGAGGCTGAGGCAGAAGAATCGCTTGAACCCAGGAGGCATAGGTTGCAGTGAGCCGAGATCGCACCACTGCACTCCAGCCCAGGTGACAGTGGGAGACTCTGTCTCAAAAAAAAAAAAAAAGAAAAGAAAAGAAAAAGAAAAAGAAAAGGCGATGTGAGGAAGATTCCCTCTATTCACACACTTTCCAGGGAGGTACAGAGGATCCTCAGAGTGGGCCCTCACCTGGGACTGCCTCTCACTCGCCTGGTGCTGGGAGGGCTAGGGTGTGCTGGAGCCCACTGGCCAGTGCGGGCAGGGCTGGGGTGCCCACCACACACATCTGGTGGCTGCACCACTTCACGGCACTGCCTTCAGGGAGCCAGTGGCCAGGCACGCCCCTGCTCAGTGCCCCTCACCTATTCGGTGGGACATTATGTATAAAGGGCTCTAACCTCAAGGAGTGTTCAGGGTTCAAATCCAGGAGTATGAGCACCACTTCTGTGAAAGGTTTTAGCATCTTTTGGGTCTGGGCACTGAGGCTTACACCCGTAATCCCAGCGCTTAAGAGGCCAAGGTGGGAGGATTGCTTAAGGCCAGGAGCTTGAGACCAGCCTGGGCAACATAGTGAGACCCCATTTCTAAAACAAACAAACAAACAAAATACAAAAATTAGCTGAGTGAGGTGGTTCCTGTCTGTAGTCCCAGCTACTCAGGAGGCTGAGGTGGCAGGGTCTCTTGAGCCCAGGAGTAGTGAGCTATGATTATGCCACCGCAGTCCATCCTAGGTGAGACCCTGTTTCTATTTAAAAAAAAAAAAATGATACTTTTGGAAGAGAGATTTATACTTTCCTTCAGATTTGCAAAGGGGCCTTGACCCAAAACAACTTAAGATCCTCCTCTGCAAACACAGAGACTGAGGCCAGCGCCAATCAGCTGGTCTGAAAGGTAAACAGAAGCCTCACCTCCTCTTCACCACCCCTTTCCACTGAGGGGGGCTCTTCCGGTATGAGGGGCTGACCTGGTGGCCCCACAGAGTCTGGAGAATGGGGGGTGATGACAGGGGCTGGAAAATGGCTGTCGGTGGACTCAGGGAATCTTGTGGTGGGTTTGTCTAGCTCACCCAGCCCCCGGGGCTTGGATTTCACAGGGTGGGGGTGGGGAGAGCGAAGAATTGCAGATGGAGGCAAGCCGGTCAGTGGGCTCCCTCGCAGCCTTCCAGGGGCCTCCAGGAATCCAGTCGCACAGGTTTGGGCAGCTGTCAGGAGGCAGCAGCAAGCCTGGCTCTCTGGAAGGCCCCCCACCCTGCAGCCCCATCCTAGGGGCTATTCTCTCCCCTAGGCCAGAACCAATCCTCCTCTTCCTAGGGCCTAAGGTGATCGGCTCATCCCACTTTTTCGAGGGACATTCCCAGTTTGAATATTGGGTCCTGCATCCCAGGGAAACCGGGACAGCTGGTCCACTTGCCATCGGGCCCTGCGGTTCCACAGGCAGCTCTAAACCCTTACGTTGTAGCCCAGTGGCGGGCTGCACACATCCGGTGAGCATTGTGCCTGGAAAGGGCATAAGAGGACCCCAGGGTTTTTTTGTTTTTGTTTTTTGAGACGTGAGTTTCGCTTTTGTTGACCAGGCTGGAGTGCAATGGCACAATCTCAGCTCACTGCAACCTCTGTCTCCCGGGTTCAAGCTATTCTCCTGCCTCAGCTTCCCAAGTAGCTGAGATTACAGGCATGTGCCACCACAGTCAGTTATTATTATTTTTTTAATTTAGTAGAGACAGGGTTTCACCATGTTAGGCTGGTCTTGAACTCCTGACCTCAGGTGATCCGCCCGCCTCAGCCTCCCGAAGTGCTAGGATTACAGGCGAGCGCCGCCACACTTGCTCAGCGACCCCAGGTTTTTTAAATTTTGTTTTTTGAGACGGAATCTCGCTCTAACGCCCAGGCTGGAGTGCAGTGGCGTGATCTTGGCTCACTGCAACCTCGCAACCTCCGCCTCCTGGGTTCAAACGATTCTCCTGCCTCAGCCTCCCGAGTAGCTAGAACTACAGGCATGCACCAATATGTCCAGCTAATTTTTGTATTTTTATTAGATATACGGGGTTTCACCATATTGGCCAGGCTGGTCTCGAACTCCTGACCTCGTCATCCACCTGCCTCGGCCTCCCAAAGTGCTGGGATTACAGGTGTGATCCACCGCATCCAGCCAACCCCAGGTTTTTAAGACTCCAATTCCTCTTTGACCCAACATCTCCAGATTGGAGCAAGGAGGAAAGCAAGCCAACACTCCAGGGACTAGCCAGCTGCGTGTGTGGCAGCTGCTCAGTGGACACACATACCCCCACCTCAGGGACCAACCCGCTGAACTTGCCTTCACAGTGGCCTGGTGTGGCTTCAGCCTCCTCCCACCCCGACTCCCACTCCAGGTCTCTAAGATAAAACAAAGTATCTCTCCAAGCCCCTTGGGGAGAGTAAAAGTGGGGAAACATCTCGGAGCCTAGGAGAGGCTGGAAGAGGGTGGTTGGGGACCTGCCCACGGTGGGAGGATTCCCAGGACACATGGGCAGCAATTCACCTGTTGTCCTCAGCCCTCGCTAGGCCTGGGTTGGGGAGGTCCCAGAACCTCTCCTAGGCCCCCGTGCACCTGGATTCAGCTGGATCTTGGGAACGGAAGGGTTAAGGTTGGGGCTGAATCCGAGACTTCAAGGGCCAGAATGCCATTGATATGGAGAAGTGGGAGCCCCCTGGTGTAGTTACCATCTCAATGGCACTTTAACACATCCAGTGAAGTCCCCTCCCCCATCCGCCAGGTCGGGGGAAAGAGGTGGGGGAGGGGAACCTTCCCCACTGTACTACCCTGGGAGGAAAGGAAGTCGGCCCTCCACCAGCCCCTTCCTGGAGCGACAAAATGGACCTTGTTTTTGTTCCGT